TATAGAGAAGAGATAATTATAAAAAAGAATTATTTTTCCATATATTCTTTTTTTATGGAATCTATGGATTATATTTTAGAATATTTTGTTTTCTTCAACTAATGAAGACTGCTTTATTTATGTTATAGGTATATTAGGTCTCAACACAGTATCGAGTAATGTGTATTCGGCTGGCATTGCAGTAATAGTGTTACATATTGCCTTAGGAGTTTTTATATACAGAGCATACTTTGATGATCGGTCAAGAACACCAGCGGTTAAGAGAGATTAGTTTTTTATTATTAAGTACACCTTGGTGATCATACACTTATGACATAATCACAGTCAACACATTTGTCTCGGATAATATTTAGGCTGATTGCACCAACATTACTCTGATTTTAAACAAGGCTTAAAACTCTCTGTCTCTCTCTTTCGCTTTAAAACAAGACAGAGAGAATTTTAAGTCTTGCTTAAAGTCAAAGTAACATTGGTGGAACCGCGTCTAAGTGGCATTGTAAAGTAAAACTTTTAGGTGTTGTCATAACAGTCAACGATACTTTTTTTTTAGTTTTACTTTAGTCAGTAATCAGTTGAAAGCCATTTATAATTTGCCAAAATTAACAATTAATGCTATCTGCGCAATGTAATTTATATAAAAATGAATTTTTACAAAGCAACTTACATTCCACAACTTCAAACGTTACATATATGCATTACATATTTCCAGTATATTATTCGATGTCCATAACAAACATTAAAATATTACGAATTTTCATGTACAAATAAATGTACGGTGAATTAGTATAAATTTATGGTGTATGAAATTTTTTTCTTGATGAAACTTTTCTTGATAAAACACAAATACTTTTATCTATACAATTTTATAAAACGCAAGTAACAATGGCAATATAAAGTGATTTTTATTTGTTTATTGAAGATAGATACCCATATTCCCTTCTTTATATGTAAATATTTTAAAATTTATGACGATTGCATACTATTTATTTTAAATTTTGTTCAAAGGTATTCCAAAACTCGACTCTCTTTATCTTTGTTCAACATTCAGTGAACAATGGATAAAATTATACTTGAGTTAACAGAGTCAAGATTTGGAACACATCCCATATTTATAAAAAGAAAAATTTTTCGAAACCTTTTAGCTTATCACAAATAACAATAGATTAAACAAACGTTATTAATATAGAACGAATAATGATTAATTCATACAATTCAATTAATTGCAATGTGGCAAAAAAAACGTTATCAAAGCAACAATATTTGATTCTTTTATTTGAAACAACAAAATTTGGAATAGCAAACAAATTTTTTTTAAACATGAATTACTTGTCGGATAAAAATGTGACAATTTATATACGTTTCTACAGAAAGTTGAATGAAGCTTATTAAATGATATATTTGATTCATAATATCTTCAACATCAACTAATTGCCAGATATATAGACGGAAAATAAATGTGATGATTCATCTGTTATAAACATAAAAGTGTATATAAATATAACGTGACGGTGTGAAATGTATAAATAAAAGAAAAGAAAACGCATTACATACATGGTGAAAATTTTTATCATTCAAAAAAAGGAAAGTATTTTTAACACTCATTTTTTACATCTTGCTAATAGTA